TTGTCGAACCGGCTGCAGAGTAGGACAAATGAGGTGCAGCAGTTAAACGCCCAACTGGCTCTGCTCCAACGCATGTATAAGGATGCGCGAGCAGAGTTAAGTGTGCTAAAGGCGGAAAATAAGGAGCTGAAGCGGAAGGCCACCGTGATGTTCCGATTTGGAGGTCCACCGTATGCTGTAGTGGAGGAGCAGGGAGGAGGCAACTTGCTTGGTGGTCTAGGAAGCACGGAGGCAACACCGTCAAGGGCCGCGCAGGACGGAGGCAAGAAGAAGAGACCGGCGGCAGAGTAGATAAGAAAAAATCCCGCCTGTGGATGTGTTGTTTGTTTTTTTTTTTTTTTTTTTTTTTTTGTTTTGTTTTTTTTTTTTTTTGTGTTGTAAAATTGTGATCGGGGTTGATCCCTGAGATGAATAAAATATGGTTTGTTGTGCAAATTGGTAAATTGTGTTTTGCAAACTCGAATGGGAGGTGTGGTAAGGCAAAAAAATCAACTGGAATGAATGTAGTTTTTTTTTTTTTTTTTTTTTTAATAATAATAATAATAAAGAAAAAATAAAGAAATAAAAGAAGAAAAGTAAAATGGGTTTGAAAAACTAGAGAGAGAGAGATGTCTCTGTGTGTCTGGTTTGCTCAGATCAAAGGAGATTGGAAACCAAGCAAACACATGGATTTTGGATTCTGAGTGTGTTTATAATAATAATAAAATGAATGAGTGGAGAAGGTTGGCCCACGCACACACAGAGTGTATGATGGGTTATATATATATATATATACTGAGAGAGTGGGGAACAAGGGGAATAATGAATATGATGAAAGTGGGTGCAAAGCCAACCATGAAGAAGTGGAGCCTTGGGAATGGGATGAGGTCGACTGCAAGCTTGCGGAGATCAGAGTGCAGCTGACCAGGAAACTGGAGGCAACAGGTGACACCACTCATGGTGGCAGAAATCAAATGGTTCAAATCTCCAAAGCTGGGAGTGGTGAGCTTGAGTGTACGGAAGCAAATATCATAGAGAGCCTCTCCAAAACCATACACTCATCGGCGTTCTCAACTTGCTGATGCACAGAGAGCGTGGCAGACTCGGGCTATCGGTGATGATGGCTCGGTTGTGGAGTTGCAGCGGTGACAGCCCGGTTGTGGAGTTGCAGCGGGGAATAAAAAGAATACCGCTGCTGAAGAGTCTGGTCATCACTGGGATTCTGCTTTGTTTTCCGATCGTGAACGGCAAGAAAAATTCAACAAGCTCATGGGTGTGAAGGGCGACGTGAAAGTGGAGCAAAAACCAGACAATCAAGAAAGCAGCAGCCTCCTCCAAGCAGAGAAGCAGAGGGAACTGCAGCTGGATTTGGAGAAGCAATACACTGCTGGACTGCTTGGAAGTGATATTTTGAGACCATAGAGGGAGAAGAGGCAACAGAGGAAGCTTCAAGGAAGAAAATTGGTGGTGATGGGTTGACTGGGTGAGTCAAGGACAGCGACTCGAAGGAGTTGGGCGTGAAGGTGGTGGACTCGAAGAAATTTCAAGGTATGTGTAGAAAATTCTAGCGGACTAGGTTGAGGTCCGGCGGGCGGCCAAGGCGAGGTTGCCGCCCGCCGGTGAAGCGAAAAATACTAAGTTCTTAACCTTGCTCTGATACCATGTGAGAATTGATGTATTATTGATTGATGTATATTGTATATTACAAATGGTGAGGGGCTCCTTATATAGGAGATGTAGTGGAGTAGGTGGTAGTATGTGGTTGTGGTAGGTGTGTAGTAGGTGGTAGTAGGTGTAGTAGGTGGAGTAGGTGATGGTAGTTTTTAACAGTTTTATATTAAGGATGCTGGCATCTTGAATTCTATGATATACGTGTATCAATTAGACTGGAATCAGGTGTTACTCTTTTTTCTTTTTTTCTTTTTTTTTTTTGGGGGGGGGGGGGGGGATATGAACCCCGATGGTCTTTTAGCAAACTAATTCCCTTTTAAGCACAGTTTTAATTTTTTTCCTTTTTCAGTTGAAATGATTTAGTTTGTAGAAAACCTTAATGACTTGGAAGTTGGAATAAGACAGTGAAATTATTCATTGGTGAAAATACTGAGACAGGGTAGTGCTGTAGAGCATCGTTTAACTGAAGTTGTGGCCTCAGAAAGACCAGAATTGTGAAACAGGATACAAGTAGCTAACTCCAAATAGTTGGGTCAAAGCTCTTTTTGGGTTTAGTTGAGCTGAAAATCTTCAATAATATGGATTTAAAATTATGATGCATGCAAATTATCATTATTTTTTCATTTTATATTTTTATTATGATAATTTTTCTTTTAATTGCAGGTGAAGTACAGTGTGAACAACCAAATAATTCTTTGTACACATTCACTGGAAATCTGATAACTGAAGAGCAAACTTTACCCCTCAGTCCAAATCAACTTCTATTGCGAGTATGCTTTCCTTTTTTTCCTTTCTCTCACTGTTGTGTTCAAGTTTTCATTTCTATTTGGCATTCAAGTCCGAATATGTCTTTGGCATGCTTAGTTTGTTGAAATGTATGCTTGTGCACTTGGGTTGAACTGTGTGGATTTAGAATATTAGATGAAACATAATTCTCCTTTTCTTTCAATGATAATGGTTTGTCAATCTTGTATGATTCCTTTGATTTTTCTGGTCACTCGCCATTGTTGAGACTTATCTCTCATGCACTCTGGATCTATATCTTTTCAGGGATGCAGTCTCAGGAACACTGCGTACATAATTGGAGCTGTTATTTTTTCTGGGCCAGAAACGAAGGTGTTCTATTAGTTAAATAGTTATATATTCATTGCTAGCTTTGCTTCTACACATATTTTTAACATTGAGCAGTTTTCAACTCAATTTAACAAGCCTTTTTCCCACTTACATGGGGTTGGTTACATGGATCCAATTTCTCCAGTTGGTCACAATCATATCCTCAATAAGTTTAAGTTGGTCTTGTCCATTTTATTACCTCAACCCAAATCCTCGTAGGCCAATCTTTATTTATTTACCACTATCTGCGTGGATCAAATCACTCCTCCTTATAGCCACTCTTGTCGGTCTATGATGCACATGCCTATTACCATCTCAAATGGCTTTTCCTTACCTTATATTCAATTGAAGCAACTTCTAATTTCTTCCTAGTTGATTTGTTTCTTATTTTATCTTTTCTTATTGGTCCACTCATTCACCTCAACGGTCTCATTTCTACTATACTCATTTTGTGAACATTCTTTTTTTAACCACTCAACATTCAGAACGATATATCATTGCAGGCCTTTTGTAGTAATCCTATAATTCACTTCCTCCGTTTCCTTTATCCTGCACTAATTCTAATATCATTGAGACAAGTGTCCTCAATCTTTCCATTTTACATTGTCGCTGTTGACCAACATCACCCTCAACATGGTCTTGGGACTTGCTGCATAAAATAAAACAATAAGCATGACCCAAGAGGAGCTAAAATTGTTGCATGTTCTTGAGTAGAACTCAACCCCAAAAGCTAGCTTTTGAGGTGGGGGTGCCCTCACAATTATATACATAACATTACTTTAGTAATTAGGCGGTGTGGGACTTTGTTTCACGAAAATGGCATGTTAACATTGAACAATTTCATAGCTACCTTTATTGAATAGCATGTGTTAGGTTTTCATTAGTCTTTTATTGCACTGCAGGTTATGATGAATTCCATGAATGTTCCTTCCAAAAGAAGTACTCTGGAGAGGAAACTTGACAAACTTATACTCACTCTTTTTGGTGTTCTCTTCTGTATGTGTCTAATTGGGGCCGTTGGCAGGTATGACAATAGCTAGACTGTTCTCCATGTTATGATGTAACCAATGTGGAGCTTTCACTTATCTTTTTTCAATTTCCCTTTCAATGACATTCTTTATGCTTAATGAAATTTTGTAGCGGAGTATTTATAAACAGCAAATATTACTTCTTGGGTCTTCACAGTCCAAATCTAACACCAGATATGAACCCCAATAACGGATTTGTGGTATTATTTTCATGCTTCTATCAGAGGAACCCTCTGAAATAAGATTCTTTTTTTTTTTGGTCTTCTTGTTATTGATGTTGTTTCTTTCTTCTACAGGTTGCTTTTTTAAATATGTTTACCCTAATTACTTTGTATTCACCAATTATCCCCATTTCTCTTTATGTTTCAATTGAGGTAGGGATCACACTATTACAGTACTTGTTTTCCCAAACTGATCATTAATTTTTTGTTTTTAAGTATACATTTCCTTTTTCTATTTTCAGACAATCAAATTTATACAATCCAATCAATATATTAACAACGATTTGCATATGTACCATGTTGAAACCAACACCCCTGCATTGGCACGGACATCCAATCTGAATGAGGAGCTTGGCCAGGTAAACTGGTTTCTTGTTGACCTGCTCAAGGGTGGATCACAAATAGTTCCTTTTCTCTCCTTCATATATATTTTTAAAGAAAATTTCTATTTCTGCTATAGTTCTTGGGAAAATGTTGTGTGATTTATTTATTCGGAAAAGCTTCTAAGGTCATTATTGCATTTTTCTTCCTTTCCACTTTATTTTCATACTGATTGCCAAGGTTGACTTTAATGATGAATTGTGCCTTTGGCCAGGTGGAGTATATCTTTTCTGATAAAACTGGAACCTTAACAAGAAATTTGATGGAGTTCTTTAAGTGTTCAATTTGGGGAGAGGTCTATGGAACTGGTCTCACAGAGATTGAAATAGGAGGAGAACAAAGGAGTGGCATAAAAGTTGATGAGGTATACTTACCTAGCATCACTTAGCAAATGACATAATATATATTTATGGATAATTTTACTCCATTCATTTCTCACAGGTTCGGAAAGCATCAAATTCAGTACATGATAAGGGTTTCAATTTTGATGATGCTAGGCTTATGCGAGGTGCCTGGTGGAGTGAACCTAATCCTGACATGTGCAAGGTATATGAGTTTAATTGACAAAAATAGAATGATTGTTGCTATATGATAATTCATCACATCAACTGGTATTTATTTTCTATATATATTTTTGTAGCTGTTGAAGTCAGCTCATCTATGGCTATGTTAAAACCTATCACCTACTTCACCCACTTAAACCTACTCCACTAAACCTAACCCACTACACCACTACCACCTCACCTACTCCACTAAACCTAACCCACTACACCACTACCACCTCCACTTCACCTACTCCTCACCTACTACACTCACCCTCTCCTGTATAATGAGCCACTCACCATTTGTAATATCAATAAACATACATCAATCAATAAAAATCAATCATAATACATACAATTTATTCTCTCTCTATCAATTTATTTTTACATGGTATCAGAGCTATAAGATTTAGGTCTGTATTTCTTTCTCACCGGCGGGCAGCCGGCCGACAACTTTGCCTTCGCTGCCCGCTGGAATTTTCTACACATAGCTTCGAGTTCTTCGCCATCAACGGCGGCGGAAACAGGCGTATGAGGCCGCACCACCACCAGAACCACCTTTACTCAATTCAAAAATCTCTCTTACCTTCTAAAATGGTCTTTCCATTTAAACTCTTGTTGGGTAGTCTAACATGGGGTGATCAAAGGGCAAAGATATTCAGTGGAGGTCAGCTTCTGTCTCTGTCTCTAGACAAGACCTCTGGCTCTGGATTTATATCAAAGAAAGAGTATCTGTTTGGGAGAATTGATATGCAGCTCAAACTTGTTGCAGGCAACTCTGCTGGCACTGTTACTGCCTACTACTTGTCTTCTCAAGGGCCAACACATGATGAGATTGACTTTGAGTTTTTGGGAAACCTTAGTGGTGACCCTTACATTGTTCATACTAATGTGTTCACTCAAGGGAAAGGAAATAGAGAGCAACAGTTCTATCTCTGGTTTGACCCTACCAGAAATTTTCACACCTACTCCATTGTCTGGACCTCCCAGCAAATCATTTTCTTGGTGGATAACACTCCCATAAGGGTATTCAAGAATGGTGAATCAATTGGTGTCCCTTTCCCTAAAAACCAACCCATGAAGATCTACTCTAGCCTCTGGAATGCTGATGACTGGGCCACGAGAGGCGGGCCAGTGAAAGCTGACTGTACAAAAGCACCATTCACAGCATACTACCGGGGCTTCAATGTCCAAACCTGTACTGGTTCATGCACTTCTTCGGTCTCAGGCAGGACATGGCAGAACCAGGAACTTGATGCATACAGTCGAAGGCGATTAAGATGGGTTCAAAAGAATTTCATGATTTCCAACTACTGCTGGACTGACATCGACATTGACATCGATCAGTGGTGCCGCAGGACGAACCACCACCTACAGCCTCATCTCCGAATCTCTCTCTCTCTCTCTCTCTCTCATATTTCCACTTTCAAACCCACATTCTTTTTTTTAATAAACCCAACACCCTCTCTCTCCACCTTATCACATGGGCTTGTCCCCTCTCTCTCCTCCGTTTGATTTCAAAATCACTTATTTTTTATTTATTTTCTCCAAATCACTTTTAATCTCTTTCAAATACCCACTCTATAATAATATATCTTTTGCAGAGGCACTACCCCCAACTTTATTTTGAAACATCCATCATCCACCTCACACCGATCTTTCTCAAATCACCCATCCAAAAATATTTTTTTATCTATTTTTTATTTTATTTTATTTTTATTATTAAACAAAACAACAACACAAAATAACACCACCAAAAAAAATAAATAAATAAATAAATTCCACAAACTTGTCATTTCTTCATGCCGGGGATCAACCCCGATCAGAATTTTACACCAAAAAAAAAAATAAATAAATAAATAAAAAAATAAAAATAAAAAAACACAAAACAAACCAAAACACAACCAACACAAATCGGAACAGTGGGATTTTTCTTCTCGCCTATTCCGCCGGTCTTTTCTTCTTGCCACCGTCTTGGGCGGCCCTTGCCGGTGTTGCCTCCGTGTTTCCCACTCCACTGGGCATGATCACTACTCCCTGCTCCTCCACTGCAGCATATGGCGGCCCTCCAAATCGGAACATAAAACTGGCCTTCCGCTTCAGCTCCTTGTTTTCCGCCTTTAGCACACTTATCTCTGCTCGCGCATCCTTATACATGCGTTGGAGCAGAGCCAGTTGGGCACTACCATCTCACCTACTCCACTAAACCTAACCCACTACACCACTACCATCTCACCTACTCCACTAAACCTAACCCACTACACCACTACCATCTCACCTACTCCACTAAACCTAACCCACTACACCACTACCATCTCACCTACTCCACTAAACCTAACCCACTACACCACTACCATCTCACCTACTCCACTAAACCTAACCCACTACACCACTACCATCTCACCTACTCCACTAAACCTAACCCACTACACCACTACCATCTCACCTACTCCACTAAACCTAACCCACTACACCACTACCATCTCACCTACTCCACTAAACCTAACCCACTACACCACTACCATCTCACCTACTCCACTAAACCTAACCCACTACACCACTACCATCTCACCTACTCCACTAAACCTAACCCACTACACCACTACCATCTCACCTACTCCACTAAACCTAACCCACTACACCACTACCATCTCACCTACTCCACTAAACCTAACCCACTACACCACTACCATCTCACCTACTCCACTAAACCTAACCCACTACACCACTACCATCTCACCTACTCCACTAAACCTAACCCACTACACCACTACCATCTCACCTACTCCACTAAACCTAACCCACTACACCACTACCATCTCACCTACTCCACTAAACCTAACCCACTACACCACTACCATCTCACCTACTCCACTAAACCTAACCCACTACACCACTACCATCTCACCTACTCCACTAAACCTAACCCACTACACCACTACCATCTCACCTACTCCACTAAACCTAACCCACTACACCACTACCATCTCACCTACTCCACTAAACCTAACCCACTACACCACTACCATCTCACCTACTCCACTAAACCTAACCCACTACACCACTACCATCTCACCTACTCCACTAAACCTAACCCACTACACCACTACCATCTCACCTACTCCACTAAACCTAACCCACTACACCACTACCATCTCACCTACTCCACTAAACCTAACCCACTACACCACTACCATCTCACCTACTCCACTAAACCTAACCCACTACACCACTACCATCTCACCTACTCCACTAAACCTAACCCACTACACCACTACCATCTCACCTACTCCACTAAACCTAACCCACTACACCACTACCACCTCCACTTCACCTACTCCTCACCTACTACACTCACCCTCTCCTATATAATGAGCCACTCACCATTTGTAATATCAATAAACATACATCAATCAATAAAAATCAATCATAATACATACAATTTATTCTCTCTCTATCAATTTATTTTTACAGGCTATATACTGTATATTGTATAAGATTCAAAGTGTTGTGATTGCTGTCAATCTGTAGTTGAAAAATAGTTTAATGTAGTTTTATTTCTGTTGGGAGCTCTTCAAATGGCTTGTGTGTGTTGCTTGATCCCTAGGATATACTCATGTCACAACACATGACTGAAACTGGTGTCTTGATTAGTTGATGATTACACTTTTTGGTGAATGCTTTTGTTGTTTGTATAGGAATTCTTCAGATGCCTTGCTATATGTCATACTGTACTGCCTGAAGGTGATGAGTCCCCTGAAAAAATTCGATATCAAGCTGCATCTCCTGACGAAGCTGCTTTGGTTACAGCTGCAAAAAACTTTGGCTTCCTCTTTTACAGGTTTATAATTTGTACGCCTTTGTAGGATCGTTTTTATCACACTTTTCTCTTTTAACATCAGATTGTTTCTATCTCCATTATGATATGGTTTTAAATAACAGTATCGATGATATGGTCGTATATTAGTCAATATCGAATAGTATTGGCCGATATACCAATGAATAACAGTATTGAAAATCCAAAATCCGGATACATAACGGACGATACAATATGTAACAGTTGATAGTTAAAACCCTAGATTTGATACGTACGCCTCTTTGTTTATAACAAATAGAATTACACTTTTAGATTGGAAGCACTTCTGAAAGAGCATGTTTCGTTTTTTTGGATATAAAGGAAGTGGAACTTTTGAAACTACAGTGCATTGTACTGAAGCTCCTTTGTTCCTATTTCATTAGGAGTATTTCTAGCACTCAAGATTCTGCCTTGGTATGAGGCTAATGATATATTTTTTCTCAGGCGTACACCTACTTTGATCTATGTTCGTGAATCAGATGCTGGGAAGATGGGAAAGGTTCAAGATGTTGCCTATGAGATTTTGAATGTCCTTGAGTTCAATAGGTGGGTACGTTCTTCTGACTCATTTTATCCTTGTTACTTCACGCTTGATGATTACTAAATTTGAGTGCAAATTTTTTTGAGTACAGTATAAGGAAGCGACAGTCTGTTGTTTGTCGTTATCCGGATGGCAGGCTTGTATTGTACTGTAAGGTAATAGTTTTATGAAGCTTCTTATGTGAATTAAAAATTGTTAGTAAGAAGTAAGATTGTTAAATTCAGGATCCTATGTGAGATCATTGGGAGGGAATTGTGGATTGGATCATAAAATTAGGTCGAGAATCATAAGATTTTACTCTCAATACAGCATAAAATGAAAAATTATTGATAATAATAATGTATGTTAAATAATTTTAAAATCATTAAAGAAAATTGATAAATATGATATTAAGCATCTTCTATGCTAAAATAAATTAGAGGAGACTCTTGGAGAGGGAGTTTGTAGTTATTATTTTAATATAAATATAAGAAAAAAATCATAGCCACTTTAAGATTCTACAAAATTTAAGATATTAGTGTGATTTAGATCATTTGGCTCAACTGGGTTTGCAAAGTTGTAAGATCCTACGATCCAGATTGGGATTCTGATAGGAAAAAAACTGACACTTGGACAGAACCTGTTTTTTTCAGGGTGCTGATACTGTGATCTATGAAAGATTGGCTGATGGAAACAATGATATTAAGAAAACATCCAGAGAGCACTTGGAACAATTTGGAGCTTCTGGATTGCGTACTCTTTGCCTGGCCTATAGAGATTTATCTTGTGACGCTTATGAGAATTGGAATGAGAAATATGTTCAGGCAAAATCTTCTCTTCGGGACCGTGAGAAAAAATTGGATGAGGTATGCATCGGTTTTGAACAAATAATTTTTTATTTCTGAACTCTTTACTTATCTTCTGCTGAATTCATATCTTTTTTGAGACATTTTAGGATTGAATTTATTGTGCAAACATAATGTTCTCTTCAATGTTTGTTCCTTTTCAGTTAATAGCTTCTGATTATTCATCCTGAATTATAAGATTTAGTCATATAAATATCATCCATGCCAATGGATGAATTCATTCTGCTGCTATATCCGTCAGCATGGAAATCAGTCTCCCTTTTGTATTTTATAAACCTGCCCTTGTCCTGTTTGTTCTCTCAATTCCTAAGGGAGCATGTCATTACTTTTTCCTTTTTCCTCCCTTCTTTTTTGGTGGCAAAGTTTTTAATGTAGCAAAATTTATGGTTATTATTGCTATATCTAGCAAAATTTCTACCTTAAATCACATGGAGCTTGTGCAGGTTGCAGAACTCATAGAGAAGGATCTTATATTAATTGGGTGCACTGCTATAGAAGATAAGCTTCAAGAAGGAGTACCATCCTGTATAGAGACTCTTTCTAGAGCTGGAATCAAGATTTGGGTTCTAACAGGGGACAAGATGGAAACAGCCATTAATATAGCTTATGGTTAGTATTTGAAAGAGTTTTGGCATCATTTAAAAAAAAAAAAAATTCTTACTATAGATATGTTGTTTCCTTATTTATTTATTTATTAGTAACAACTTAAATCATATTTCTCTGTTTTTCTTTGACTCAGCATGCAAGTTGATTGATAATGACATGAAACAGTTTATTATCAGTTCAGAAACTGATGAAATTAGAGAAGTAGAAAGCAGAGTAAGGAGCTTTCTTGTCTGGTTTGATTTTTCATGTAAATACATCAAAATCATTTTTCAGAGCGTTCAATATGTTAAAGAGAAATTTAGGGAACACAATTCCAGCCACATCCCTCTCACATGCCCCACATGCAGGTACATGTGAGGGTCGTGGTTGGAGTTGTGTCTCTAGAATTATTGTAGTTTAAAAGTTGCTTTACATTCTATGGCCAGGGTGACCAAGTGGAGATTGCACGCTTTATGAGAGATGCAGTGAAAAGTCAGCTAAACAAGTGCCACGAGGAAGCAAAAACCTCTTTTCTTACTGTAGCTGGACCAAAATTGACTCTTGTGATAGATGGGAAGTGTTTGATGTATGCACTAGACCCGAGTTTAAGAGTAATACTACTGAATTTGAGCTTGAATTGTAGTTCAGTAGTTTGCTGCCGAGTTTCTCCTTTACAGAAAGCACAGGTAAGGATTGTCATTGTGGTCCACCTGATATATATGAGTGAAATATGTTTTCTTGACATTGAAAGGAGTATGTGACTTTATGATCTTTTATACTATGATTGGAGTATACTTTGAGTTTGAACTTATTAATGCAGTGTGCAATGCAAAAAATTTGCCATGCTTGGGCTTATTAAAAATAAAAAACCAAAAAAATCATTTTTACAGTTAATGGTATACGAATTCTAGCCTAAACTTTTAACGGCATGATAAGAAACTGTTAGAATTTACCTACACCTACCACCACCTACTACCACACCTACTACACCTACCACCAATTTACCCTCACCTACTCCTCACCTACTACCCAAACCCTCTCCTATATAATGAGCCACTCTGATTTGTAATATAACATATCAATATATATCAAATCAATATTCATCAATCAATAAAACATACAATTTATTCTCTCTCTATCAATTTATTTTACATCTCTCTATCAATTTATCTTACATGGTATCAGAGCTATAGGTTAAGCTCTTGGTGCTCTTCGCCTTCTGGCGGGCGGCAACGTTGCCTTAGCCGCCCGCCGGACCTCTACACATACCTTCACTCCGCTGCCACAAATTCCATAACTGAATTGAACTCTTGTCTCTCTTCTTGGCTTGACTTTCAACCCAGATTACCAACTCCCTCGTTGCAACAAGATTCACCGGCATTGCTCGCACTTGGAGATGCCAAGGGTAAAGAATTGGCCTCTGGGTTGCCTCTTTTTGCAGGGACCGGTGCAGCATCAGTAACTTCGGTAGTTTCTTCTTTTGTCTCCTCAACAAGAAGTTCTGCCTTCACCTCTGGAGCCTCTTCAGCAGCAACTTCAGGTTCCTCAACAACTTCCTTAATCTTGGCTTCAACTGCCGGGGCTTCAGCTTCCGGGGCAGCTGCTGGCTCCTCTGTTGTTGCTGCCACCTCAGTTGGTTTTTCAGTCACTAGCTCGGGGGCAGGTGGTGCTGCCACTGCCTCTTCTGGCTGGGTCTTGCTCAACTCAGTTGTTTCAATTTCTGGCAATGCTGTTGCTGCCAGTGTAACCTCAACAGTGGCCCTTGGAAATGCAAATGAAAGCACAGAGAGAGAGAGAGAGAATCTGAAAGCAAGAATGGAAGAGTACAGGCTGTCAGCCGAATAGCTATTTCTTTAATCAAAACCAAAACATATACACACAGAGGACGGCTCTCCCTCTCTCTGGTCTCTATCAGCTGGTATAGTTGCTCATCATCTGCTAAACAATATACACAAACACATGTCTGCCTCTCTCTCTCATAACAAGTCTTTAGACTCTTCTTCATTTGCAAAGCTTTCTGAAGAAGAGCAAATATACTAGAAACCATGCTGCTGGAAAAGGGTGTGCGCCTTGGCAATTTGATCCGATCTTCCAGTTTTGCTTCTTTATCACAGATTGGAGCTTACTATACATCTCGGGCTGCATCTCCCCTCCAAGAAGCCTGTAAACCTTCTTCTTACAGTGATGATGAGTCCACGGATAGCCCCACTCCAAATCACATTGACCATTACCCATAAAATATCACCATTCCACAATTTTGAAGTGAATAGTGCTGGTGGGCCCTACCACTAGCAAAAGCAATTTATAATAAATACCAACAGCTCACTCCTCAAAAGAAATTTCTAATAATTTCTCTTTCTCACTTTACTTTTTCCCACCCACCAAAACCTAATCATCCTGCTGGCCATGTATCTTCTTCTTTCCACCGAATACCACCCACCTTGTCTCCACTCCTGTTTGCACATGGCATGTCCCTCAGCCTTTTGACAAGTTATTCTGAACTCTTTACTTATCTTCTGCTGAATTCATATCTTTTTTGAGACATTTTAGGATTGAATTTATTGTGCAAACATAATGTCTCTTTCAATGTTTTGTTCCTTTTCAGTTAATAGCTTCTGATTATCATCCTGAATTATAAGATTTAGTCATATAAATATCATCATGCAATGGATGAATTCATTTCTGCTGCTATATCCGTCAGCATGGAAATCAGTCTCCCTTTTGTATTTTATAAACCTGCCCTTGTCCTGTTTTGTTCTCTCAATTCCTAGGGAGCATGTCATTACTTTTTCCTTTTTCCTCCTTCTTTTTTTGGTGGCAAAGTTTTTAATGTAGCAAAATTTATGGTTATTATTGCTATATCTAGCAAAATTTCTACCTTAAATCACATGGAGCTTGTGGCAGGTTGCAGAACTCATAGAGAAGGATCTATATTAATTGGGTGCACTGCTATGAAGATAAGCTTCAAGAAGGAGTACCATCCTGTATAGAGACTCTTTCTAGAGCTGGAATCAAGATTTGGGTTCTAACGGGACAAGATGGAATATAAGAAAAAAATCATAGTCAGTTTAAGATTCTACAAAATTTAAGATCTTAGTGCGATTTAGATCATTTGGCCCAACTGAGTTTGCAAAATTGTAAGATCCAACGATCCAGATTGGGATTCTAATAGGAAAAAAAACTGACACTTGGACAGAACCTGTTTTTTTCAGGGTGCTGATACTGTGATCTATGAAAGATTGGCTGATGGAAACAATGATATTAAGAAAAAATCCAGGGAGCACTTGGAACAATTTGGAGCTTCTGAATTGCGTACTCTTTGCCTGGCCTATAGAGATTTATCTTGTGATGCATATGAGAATTGGAATGAGAAATATGTTTAGGCAAAACCGTGAGAAAAAATTGGATGAGGTATGCATCGGTTTTGAACAAATAATTTTTTATTTCTGGAATCAAGATTTGGGTTCTAACAGGGGACAAGATGGAAACAGCCATTAATATAGCTTATGGTTAGTATTTGAAAGAGTTTTGGCATCATTTATAAAAAAAAAGTTCTTACTATAGATATGTTGTTTCCTTATTTATTTATTTATTAGTAACAACTTAAATCATATTTCTCTGTTTTTCTTTGACTCAGCATGCAAGTTGATTGATAATGACATGAAACAGTTTATTATCAGTTCAGAAACTGATGAAATTAGAGAAGTAGAAAGCAGAGTAAGGAGCTTTCTTGTCTGGTTTGATTTTTCATGTAAATACATCAAATTCATTTTTCAGAGCGTTCAATTCAATATGTTAAAGAGAAATTTAGGGAACACAATTCCAACCACATCCCCCACATGCCCTACATGCAGGTATGTGTAAGGGTTGTGGTTAGAGTTGTGTCTCTAGAATTATTGTAATTTAAAAGTTGCTTTAAATTCTATGGCCAGGGTGACCAAGTGGAGATCGCACACTTTATGAGAGATGCAGTGAAAAGTCAGCTAAAAAGTGCCACGAGGAAGCAAAAACCTCTTTTCTTACTGTAGCTGAACCAAAATTGACTCTTGTGATAGATGGGAAGTGTTTGATGTATGCACTAGACCCGAGTTTAAGAGTAATACTACTGAATTTGAGCTTGAATTGTAGTTCAGTAGTTTGCTGCCGAGTTTCTCCTTTACAGAAAGCACAGGTAAGGATTGTCATTGTGGTCCACCTGATATATACGAGTGAAATATGTTTTGTTGACAGTGAAAGGAGTATGTGACTTTATGATCTTTTATACTATGATTGAAGTATACTTTGAGTTTGAACTTATTAATGCAGTGTGCAATGCAAAAAATTTGCCATGCTTGGGCATTTTAAAAATAAAAAAACAAAAAAATCATTTTTACAGTTAATGGTATACGAATTCTAGTCTAAACTTTTAACGGCATGATAAGAAACATTTGCTAAATACCTCGTCAATTGGTTTATTATTACAATGCTTGCTTCTTCTTCAATAAACAATATATTTGTTTAGCAAAGTAGCATATTGAAATCAAGGTTGGGAATTTAATTGGGTGGCAGGTTATACTCTTAGAAGCCCAACTGCTATAATTTATTTATTTATTTTTCTTTACATCTCTCTATCAATTTATCTTACAGAAACATTTGCTAAATACCTCGTCAATGCTTGCTTCTTCTTCAATAAACAATATATTTGCTTAGCAAAGTAGCATATTGAAATCAAGGTTGGGAATTTAATTGGGTGGCAGGTTATACTCTTAGAAGCCCAACTGCTATAATTTATTTATTTATTTTTCAATTGATGATTATTATTTTTTCTTTTAAAACCAGTTACAGCTCAGTTTGATAACATTTTCTGGAAGGGCTTCTTGTATTGATCACAATGTCTGAAAATTTTAAGAGGGTGTGAAGAAAAAAATTTGGATCAGGGCAACACACTGTTTGGTTTTTAGAGAAACCAACTTTGCGTGGTTTAATGTGTCCTGTTTTCTGCCTATCTTGTAGTATGCTTTGTGAATTGTCATCTTACTTTCTCTTCTTTTCCAAACATAGCTCTACCCTGGTCAAAGGAATTGTAATCCAACTAGATGTTTGTGGGTTTTCCTAATAGCCCCTAACTTTGCTTTATTATCAACTATCAAGTGGATCTATTTGCTGGTTGAGTAGTCTCGACTCGAGTTTTACATATTTAAGGGTGAAATTGGAAAAACTTGATGCTATTTGCAGGTGACGAGACTAGTCAAGAAAGGTGCACAGAAAATAACACTTAGTATTGGTGATGGTGCCAATGATGTTAGTATGATTCAAGCCGCTCATATTGGTGTTGGAATAAGTGGTATGGAAGGAATGCAAGCAGTTATGGCTAGTGATTTTGCAATTGCTCAGTTCCGTTTTCTTACAGATTTACTTCTTGTGCATGGCCGATGGTCATATCTCAGAATATGCAAGGTTCTAATTTTCTACCTTCATAGTTCATTTTTCTTTTCATTTCTCTACCTAGAGTTTTTCATGCTTAAAAATTCTTGATTGCAGGTTGTGTCCTATTTCATTTACAAGAATCTTACATTGACTTCGATTCAATTTTGGTACACCTTCCAAACTGGGTTTTCTGGTCAGAGATTCTATGACGATTGGTTTCAGTCTTTATATAATGTTATTTTCACAGCCATGCCTGTGATTATGGTTGGACTTTTTGAGAAGGTACTTGCATTCTTTCTATTTAATGTTGATTTATAATGTGAGTTTTTGTGCCATTGATTTGGATTAATGATTTCATTGTGGAAAGCCCCTAGTATTTGTATAATACCAATTTAGAGTATTTACACTTCGATTTAGAGTATTACATTTAGAGCATCTCTGATCCTTGCTCTCTCTCTTTTATTTTTTCTTTTCTTCTTTTTCTCTTTTTTTAATCAATTTGAGTGTAAAATTGGCTAAAAGCTTGATTTGGTATGGAAACTCAAATCTTTACTAATTTCTTTTCATAAATCTTTTTGAAAAATTTCGAACTTATCCTTAAAACCTGTTTTAAGTGCTTTTTAGGAAAGAAAATCGTGTCCAATCCTTACTCTTTTTAAAATTTCATTAAATTTGTATAAATATATGACTCTTGGAAATTTGGTGAAGGATTTGGTTCACCCTTGATTTAGTGAAAAGTTTACCACTCCCTGGATTTGATACAAGTTTAATACAATGATTGAAGCCCACTTTTTGCTTTTATTCATCAAGATGCTCTTACCATTCGTTTTTTGTCGTTTATTTTTGCAACCAATCTAAATGTGACTGAATGATCACATATGTTCTTTGGCAGGATGTCAGTGCTTCCCTTTCCAAAAAGTACCCGCAGTTGTACAAGGAGGGAATAAGAAATACCTTCTTCAAATGGAGAGTTGTGGTGACCTTGGCTTTGTTTTCATTTTACCAATCATTAGTCATATACAATTTTGCAATCACTTCCAGTTCTAACAGTGTTGATTCGAATGGCAAGATGTTTGGCCTCTGGGATGTCAGCACAACGGTCTTCAATTGTCTTGTAATAACTGTTAATTTGCGGCTTCTTCTGATGTGCAACACAATTACGAGGTGGCATCAAATAACTGTTGGAGGAAGCATTCTAACATGGTTTATATTTGTCCTTGTATATACAGGTGTTTACACTCCTAAGGTGAGTCCTCTTCTTGTTTTAACCACTTACTGAATCAAATACTCTTTGGCAGCAGAGCTAAAAAGCCTTTTTTTTTTTCAAATTTTTATTTTATTTTATTTTATCTATTGTCTTTAGTGATTTTTTCTTTTAATTTGTGCCCAAAAAAATTATTTTTCCTGTCCATCTAGACCCAAAAAAAAAAAAAAAAGGAAAATCTGAAAAAAAAATTCCCTAAAGACAAAAAAAAAAAAAAAAAGTCAATTTTTAAATCTTTTTAGCTTTTTTTTTTTTTTCTTTTTCTTCTTGTCTCTTTAATGGGCTTTTCATATTTTTTTTATTCTTTCAGGTCCATCTAGTATAGTAGGACTGGAATATGATTTTTTTTTTTTTTTTTTTTAAAATAAAAGGAATTCACTATAAATGAAAGAAAGTCAACAAAACAACTGCTAAAAAAGCAATTGCTAAACCCAATACTAACTTGCTCATTTACATTCACTGCAGGGTATCTACTCCGTCTTTTATGTCTTGATCAGTACATTCTATTTCTATATCATGCTTCTCCTTGTTCCCATTGTGGCACTGGTTGGCGATTTCTTATTTCTAGGGTAAGATTTTTGGAGAATAATTTTCTTGGAGCATTTTGTATATGGACAGGGCCTCATAGTATGCATTAATCAAGGTTGCAGATGACTAAACTGTGTATACTGTACAGCTCACATGTGTTGATCTGGAAAAAAAATAAATCTAAACACTGTATAAAATGTATTGGTCTACATTAGAAATAGCATGTCAGCTTATTGTAGTGACTGGGTTTTGTTTGGTTGTGACTTAAAAACTAGCTTATTGGCTAAAAAAAGCTTATTTTGCTAAAAAATTTAATCGGACAGAAGATCAAATGCATGTCACCTGTATTTGGCTATGGAAAACTTGCTGCCACACCAAATGCAGACGCTCTCTTTTAATTGTTCACTTTTTCATTCCTCTAATATCTATATCGTTATCTAAGTTCATCTATTTCTTTTGTATTTGTGTGTTTAACCTTTTGATGCTTTATAATTTGGTATAATACATTTATGAACTTTTGTTATTTGGCCTCAGGGTTCAAAGATGGTTCTTCCCTTATGATTATCAGATTATTCAAGAAATCCACAGGCAAGAACCCAACAATGGCTGTGCCGGGTTGCTGGAGATTGGGAACCAGCTTACACCAAATGATGCAAGGAGCTTTGGTGTCGCACAGCTTCCACGAGAGAATTCCAGGCACACTGGTTTTTCTTTTGATTCACCGGGGTATGAGTCCTTTTTTGCTTCACAAGCAGGTGTCCCTGCCCCTCACAAGGCGTGGGAGGTGGCACGGCGAGCCAGTGTGAGGTTTCGGTCGAAGTTATCCTTAAAGAATTGAATGAATGAATTTATTTGTACATTATATATATTTTATTTTTAGAAAACTAGTTGTGCCACATACAATAGGTGACTTCATTTTTTTTGGGTAGGTATTGTAGTTATTAGGATTGTTAGGGTAAAAAATGACTATTTTTTTGGAATTAAATGAACGTTCTTTTGTTATATATAATGTACTAGACCATTGTCACATAATGTTATTTTAAATTGTTAAATTTTGACATTTTAAGCAAGGAATTCAATCATCCATGGCCAATGATATGCTTTACGAAGTTGTAAGTTCAAATCCCTTGCATTCCATATGAATTTTTTAATTGATCTACTAATATATATATTTTGATAATTGAATATTTGGGTCAACTATATCTCAATTAATTTCGTTTGAGATTTTTAAATTCATTTATTAATATATATTTTTTGATAATTAAGTATTTGGGTCAACTTATATAAAATAACGGCTGAAAGAATCTTTACTAATTTAAAATAATGAAAAATATTATTTTTATAATACTTTATTTTAATTTGTAACTTTTACGTTGAATTATATCATTCACTAACATGTTTTATTGTGGTAAAAAATCACAACTAGATTGTTTGCCAAGAAAAAATGACAGAAAATTCAATCCCAAATTGTTTTTTAGTCAAAAAATTGAAATGTCAAATTTCCCCCACATTAGAGGCATCCCTGGCTGATATCAAACACCACTTGCTCAAATTCACCATCAAACTCGAGACTGCCACTTGGAAAAAAAAAAAAAAAAAAAAAATCCTGACAAGTAACGAACAAGGAAAATAAAATAAAAAATCTTTTCCTCAACAGGTATTGATGCCCACTTGAATCTAATGCAAGTTTTAACAGTTTGGTTATCACAAAATGAATTAGGTTCAAGAATTGAACAATATATAGTAAACTGCATACATAAATAATACATCACAAGATAATTGAAAATTGAAATTTGCAAATAAAAGCACAAACTATTAAAGAAAATGCTATGTATAATTCCATTTCTTACCGCATTTTCTCACTTCTAAACATACAACTGGGCAGATCTCATGTGCATTTATTAATATGAATCTCATTTTCATGCATCTAGAATAGAAACACAAAAGATTTTCACATAATGGGGTGTGAGACCCGCCCTTCGTCTCACATGTGTCCCATTCTGTAAATAATCATCTGTACACTACGATTTACAAGTGAGAAAATAGGGTAAGAAATAAGATTACATATATAGCATTGCTTAACTATAAATATAAAACATGAATACCAACCAACTCAACAGCAGGAAGGATAAAGGAAGAACAATGAAGAGAAGAACAAATGAATTTCCATCTCTTTGTTTCCTCTCTGGCTTTTCTCTTTCAACTTTAGAAATGGGGTCCAAGGTCTGTTTATCTTCTTCAGAAGATCCCATGAACGTCGTTAATTTCTGCGATACAGACTGCTGATCTTCACGCAAGAAATTTTCGTCTCCGACGTAATCATCATCATTTTCAAATACCAGATGAATCCCACACTTCTTCAGGTGAACCCCCTTGACAGGAGAAGGGTTCTGCGTTGCCACTCGTATCTTGTCACCGTCTTTCAGAAACAAAACCAATGGATTATAATTTTCATATCGGCACAAGTAAAAATGATCTTCATCTGTCTTTGGCACTCCTTCTAAAAGCGGTGCAGTATTGAATATTGGTTTGTTCAATCTGAGGATCGTTATTAGAATACCTGCTACTACAGGGGATTGATCTCTTAGATCATCTCGTATGGAATGGTCGATAGAGACAACAATGCCTACAATTACAGCTTTGATCACACGGTTTTTGGGCTTTGAGTAAGAAACCTCATCTCGAGTAAACCAATCTGGGATTTCGCTTCCAGGCACACATAAACTGTTCAAATTCCTCAAAGCAAGCTGCATTTATAAAGTCCCATAAAACATTCTATTTCTGATCTGACATGTATGTTAATTACTCCACTCATAATCTGGATTATCTACTGTGTTTTTCTGTAATGTGATCTTGCTGTGGTGATCCAACGGTCGAGGTTTAAAGTTGAAATAAAAAAAACATCATTTTGGAATGTGTAATTCTAGTTATTTTACCTCAGTTTTAAACTTTGCCACTAGTTTATGTTTTTGTAATGGGTCATGTCGTGGTAAAAAACCCAGCAAGATTACGGCAAAATCTTTGCACAGCCAACCCATATTCCATTCAAAATATTTTTATTTATTTATTTTAATTTTTAACATAATAATACTCTTATACCAAAGACCAAAAAGCAATCCCAAGGAACAAAAGAAAAAAAAAGATCTTAAGAGTATAGAAACCAAACACAAAATTGAACACAAGAAAATGCATGGAATCTTGTAAACTCTCTTTCATCCATATATTTTGTGTTTGGTTCTTTCTTAGTAGCAAGAAATTCCTTCTTTGAAGACGTTTTTTGCTCAAAAACATGATTCCGCACTCCCACGTAAGAAACTTGTAGAAACCCGCTTTTGTCCAAGAAGAAATTCGCTCTCAACTGAGCAGAACCTCATAAAAATCTCACAAAAACAAAAGAAAAAAACTCAAAACTTATTCTAATAGTTTGTATTCATATACTTAACAAAGACAATTTGTAATTGACATTAATCTTAATATTTATTTATATTTGAACACACATTACAATTAATTAGAAAAAAATAATTGTTAAATATATTTATATATTTAATATATAAATTATATACACGCTCCCATAGGGGTTGCCAACTTTAGAAACTTCTATATGCCTTTGTTCCCTCTGCCTCTGCTCCTGTCTCCACCACCACTTCATGCAAACTACGGTTCGGTTCTATGCCTGATTTTTATCTTCCTAGACTTTTTCAAATAAAATAAAAGTACCAGAAAAATAGCTCTTTCGGTAAATATATCTTATGTTGAATTAGGACATAAAAGTTGTAAAGAATCTGCATATCCAAATGGGATATCAACAGAAGAATGATTATTTGATTACTTACATTGAAAAGGGATTCAATGGTATTTTGTCTATGATTTGAGAAGTTTGAACTAGAAGATTTATTTAAGGTAGATAATAATAATCATTGGTCTGATAAATCTACACAATCTTACAAATATATGACAGGAATGTGTGTGTGTGTGTGTGTGTGTGTGTGTGAGAGAGAGAGAGAGAGAGAGACAGAGAGAGAGAGAGAGAGAGAGAGTACCTTATCAAGTTTTGACTTTACCACTGAAGAGCAAGAACTGCAACCACTCATGTACAGCCATCTCAAGGACTTCAAGCATTCAAGACCTGGAATACCCGTTAGTTTCTCACAGTTTGCAAGGTTCAGGTTTTGTAAATTCTCCAGATTTGATATATCGGATATACTTTCCAGTGCAGTACAGTTTGCAGCATTTAACTCTACCAAACTTGAGGGAAGTGGGGGAAGAACTTTGAGATATTTACAGTGGGACAGTACAAGCTTTTCGAGAATGGAAAGTCCTCTTAGACTACAAGGAAGACTGGAAAAATCATTGTGACTGAGATTCAAAAGCACTAAAGACGACAGTTTTTCAAAATCATCAGGTATTTTCCCTGCTATTTTCCATGCACGGGCATCAAATTCTTCTAACAAGGAAAGATTTGAGAAAGAAGATGGAAGCTCTGTATTTTCAGCATTCTGAGATACTTCATGGTCAGGCTTCTTCGCCATTTTCAATATCATCAGTCTTGAGAGCATGCCAAAATTTTCAGGTAATTCTGTCACAGCTGTTTCCTCCATTAGCAAGTGGTGGAGGGACTTCAAATTCCCAATTGAAGCGGGCAGTCTGCAAAGCTTTGTACATTTATTCAACCTTAACATGATAAGATTTTCCAACATCCCTATAGATTCTGGCAGCTCTGTTATGGCAGCATTCACTATGATCAATGCAGAAAGAGTTAACACACATCCAATTGATTCTGGCAATGATCTAAGAGATCTACAATTTCTCATCTCAAGCTTCTCAAGAGATTTCAAGCCATCGACCTGATCTGGCAGATCTATGATCGATGTCCCATCTAACTGAAGGTCAACAATAGAAGCTAACCCTCCAATGGAAACAGGCAATCTGCTAATATCACAACAGTTGCCAAGTGATAAGTCCTTCAGATAGGCTAATGACCCAATAGAAGTTGGCAGTTCTTTCACTGAACTACTGTTAAGCCAAAATTTTGTTAATGATTTGATATTGCCAACAGAATCAGGTAATACAGTAAGTGATTTACACCACATCAAACTTAGTTGTTCAAGATTTCCCAACGAGCCAATGGAATCAGGCATATCTTCTAATGCAGAACCATTAAGAGAAAAGTCCCTTAAAGAACCTAGCTTCCCTATACATTGGGGTAGTCGCTTTAGTGATTGGCAACGATCCAAGCTAAGCTTTTCAAGTTTTGTAAGCAAGAATATAGTATCAGGCAACTTCTCTATTGCAGTTCCATCAATGAGAAGCTCTTTCAAAGAATTCATGCCACGCATGTCTTGTGGTAGTTCTTTCAGTTTAGAGCAACCTGAGAGGATAAGGATCTCTAGATGTTTCAGCCCAGAGACATCATTTGGAAAGTCAACAATGTTGTAACATCCTCTCATATTTAAATGACGTAATGTAGTCATATCCCCAAGCGATTTATGAATCGTAGTTAAACTAATGCAACGCTCGAGGATCAACTTTTCCAAGGCATGATGCTTAGATAAATCAGGAATAGCAGTTAGGTTGTAGCAACCATGAAGATTCATGACCATCAAGTTCTCTGCCACCTGGTAAGCAAGATGTATTAGTTTCATATAGCATAGCCATATTAAAACTGCTGCAATAGAAAAATGTATGCCAAATTAAAAACCCAAGAAGCACTCCAGCAAATTCAGTTTGTCTTGGAACAATAAAAATACATAAAAACAATAGAAAAGAGAAAATAAATGCCTTTCTCATAGCACCTAGGTAATATATACATCCATCCACACAGCCCTTTCTTGCAGCTTTTTATCATGGTTAATGTGCCATGCTTAATGAATGCAATTCTAGTGTTTTTTTCTCTTCCTTTTTCTGTAGGTTAAATTGCAATGACATGTGAAATAACATTTAACAAGTCACGACTAGAGTACTGCTCCCTCCATAATGTGAGTGAAGCATTGTGTGATATGCAGCTGATAAGGATCTGAGGAGATTTACACCCCTAGGGCCTATCATTGATCAGTGATGGGAGCATGGCTAAATGAAGGGTTGACTTGACATGATTGCTAACTTCATAATTAGCAACATGAGAAAGTCCTCAGCCAACTTGTCCGCATTATCCCAAACTTGTTGACAAACATAAGATATTAATGTTACCAAGGGCATAAGAAATAGATGCTAGTCCAACCTCAGTCAAGCCACACAGTCACATCTTATAAATTATTGCATACACCTACCATATTGCAACATGTAATTATGAACTATTTAGTCCTTGAAGCATTGAAAGTTTCTTCAAAAAGCCTAAGACCAACTTGTGGCTGCAGATTTTGAGCTTCAGATCCAAGGAAATTCAAATTAGCTATAATCATCATCTAAATTATTGGTTTGATAAGTGCAACATACCTTGTTATTGTACCAAAACCACCATCTCCATCCCCATACATTCTCTATCTTGCTTTCTGAGAGATCAAGTACTGCGAGCTGCCGTGGACAAAAATTAGAAGGAAGATTTTTCAAAGGACATGTTCTCCATTGTAGCCACTTTAGATCAGGAGGTATGCATTTGAAATTTCCCTCCAATCTCACATTACTTAACTGAAGCAGTCTCAAACAAATCATTGATTGAAATGGTTTAGTCTGAAGCATCATCTCTCCCTCTTTGTTGGCAACATGGTTGAAATACTCTTTGTATGTCTCCATCAAGTAAGTTACTACAGAGGTGATACTGGGTGCTTGCCTTAATTTGTCCCGAGAAATTGATTTAGCACTCTTCTCCTTAGGAAAGTTCTTCTTTTCAAAGTCTAGAATGATCCCTTGAATATTTCTTGTTCCCTGATGTCAATGATATAGAAGAAAATAAGGATAAATAATAAAATTATAAGGCGAATGGTGTCAAGTGAAGGAAAACAAATAGTAGGAAATTTAAGCTAAAATGATAGGTCTTAAAAAATGGTAGCGGTTCTAAAAACTTTCAAGTTCGAGGAAACTAAGGAAAATTTGTTTTCAATTGTTCTCCAAAGAAGTTTTAATTCCCTTCTCTCTCCCCCACCCTTTCCAACAACTCATCAAACATGTGATTATACTTTTAATTTTTGTGTTTTGAAAACACACCAAACATGTTCTTTGTTTTATTTTTTGCAACAACAACAAAAATAACTGTTTACTTGATTTCAGGAAACTGGCAATGTTACCAAGCGCTATCTTATTTGTTTCTCATTATTTTAGGGCACAAACCAGCTCAGAAAACTAATATGCTACATTGCATGAGACAATAGTTAACATAAAGGTAAGATCTGATGCCAAGATTCATACCATCCTATCTTTCAAGACAGTTAGAATTTCACCAGACTCCCACAGTCTACTACGCATACCAGGATCTACAAGGTGGTCATGCTGAACAATTTGTCTCCCCATATCCCTTATTTGGTCATGCATCCACAAACTCTTGTCCTCAGTAATTTTAATGAGAGATCTTGCTATCAGAACATTGATTGAAATCTCAGCTCTGAAGCCACAGCCCTTCACTATGTCAATCACATCATCTCTCTTCATTTCCAGATTAACAAATAAACAAGCAATGTCGAGGAATATACACTTCTCTTCATCATCAAGCCCGTCAAAACTTATCTTAAGGACATCTTGAAGATCGTCCGGACGAATCTGCTTCAACTTTTGCAGAGCATCTTCCCATTCCTCCACTCTCCTCTTATCAAACAAAAAAGAACCAAATACTTCCAGAGCCAAGGGTAATCCTCCAGTAATGGACACAATTTGTTGAGACAGATTGAGGAAAGTTTCAGTGGTCCTTTTACTTCTCAATGCATGATAACGAAAAAGTTTTAGTGAATCAGAGGAACCCAATTCTTTCACCTCATAAATGTCATTCACATGATAAGCAAGCAGAACATCTCTATCTCTTGTAGTAATAATTATTCGACTTCCTTCATAAAACCATTCGCTCCCGGCAGCCAGTACACCAAGTTGGCTTACATTATCAACATCATCTAAAACAACAAGGACACGCTTCTCATGAAGTATCCCTCTAATTGCTTTCTCGCCAGCATTAACATCATTTACAAGAGATGCATTTCCCAAAAGATCACCAAGGAGTTTTCTCTGAAGAGATACTAAACCGTTTTGTTGCATAGATGCTTCTCTAACATTGGAAATAAAACTACGGTGTTCAAAGTGACTGACAAGTTTATTGTAGAGGGCCTTGGCAAGGGTTGTCTTGCCAACCCCACCCATTCCATGAAACCCCAAAACTTGGACACGACTGGATTTAACATCTAACAATTTCATCAGCTCCTCAACACGAGAATTGAGTCCCACAGTATATGAAGCCACACCGATTGGAGTGTTGCTTAATTCATCCAGAATCCTTCTGACTAATAATTGAATCAACTGAGGTTCTTCGCTGCAAGCAGACATGATTGTAAGTACATACTACATAGTAACTATAAAAAGCTAAAGGGGAGATTTATAAGTGAGTTTGATAATCAAATGGCAAAGCAAGGACATAGATATCATTCATGTCACATCAACCAAGATGAGAACAAATATAATACTCTTAGAACCCCACGATTTTAATGCATTCACCGGATAAGAGTCATTGGAGTTGGCATTTAAAAAACAAAGTAATATGTGTGAAGAATTTTTATATGAAGGAACAATAAATGAATAGTTCCATGTAAACAACACCATTTTATAACTCATAATAACAACTGCACGCAACAATGTCTAACTTGGATACATAGTAATTATTGGTTTGGACCAAGTCCCCTTTACAAAATGTGGTACCAAAACAATCCACATTCTAGCTGACATAGATCCTTAGATATTGTTGGTCCTTATAATGCCATGCCTCCCTGCCAAAACCAAACACTGCAGGCTCCATCTATAGAACCACACCTTTCTTCTACAATTAATGCATTTTCAATCAAATAGGTCTTTTAAGAAAACTACACAAGAATCTTCATATGAGATACAAGGAATATGCTATTCTTTTTCTTTTTCTTTTTTTAAAATTATGTTGACCAAGAGATATTGAAACTGCATGGATTATTTGCATTGTTCTTTCTTTTATCACTTAAGAGCCGTGAAATGAAAGTCTCATGCACGATTTTGAATGAGAGAAAGAAGTGAGGAATTCTCTTTTCAATCCAGAATTTAATTAAATAGATGTATCTAGGGAGAATTCACTTGAAAGCGATTATTCCTTAGATACACGCGTAATATTTCAATTGGTGAATCAATTTAAATTTAAAAAAGACCCAAGTTGAATTGAATATTTGGAAGGCATAAGAAGCCACTAACAATAATAATGTTTGGTACCAGAATACACATCTATATATTATATAAGGAAAAAGGGGTTTCTAACAAGCCTTGTGAGAGTTCCAATATCCCGATCTTAATTTTCTAATTTTTGATTAAAAAAAAAAATCTCAATATTTATTGACTTCTCCAAACCCACAAGCTTTCTTGACTTCTTTCATACCTACTGCCGCACCATTTTCAACTTCTCCCATATACTATGGCTAGTAATGGAATTGTTAAATTATTTTTATAAAAAATCTTTAAAAAATAATTTATATATTAAAATAATATCTAAAAAAAATATAAATTCTTATTAAAAAATAACAGGTTGCAATTGCACCAAAAAAAAAAAAAAAAAGAGAAAAAAGAAATTACATTGTGCATTTAATTAATAATGCTCAAAATATGTGTCAAGTGTTTGTATAAAGGCTTAACACGTGTCCACTCTCTAATTATCAAGTGAATATAGATGAAACCAAAGAACTCATGTTTAATGGCTAACAAATATTAGAAACCCGATCTTTGAAGTCTAATAACTATTAATTAATAGAATTCAATAATTGAAAGGTCTCAAACCACATCTCTTTGTCTTCTCAAATGTTCTCTTTTTTTGGTTCATGCATTCATTCTAATATTGATAAAGAATTGGATGTATGGAAGAGTGAGAAACATTAAAATTATATATTGAGTTATATAATTGCTGTGATGAAAAATAAAAGTTGTCTTTCCCTTCTATGGAGATTTATTTGGTTATACCTCCAATTAAAACATCACATGTGCTTCTATATCAGCATTGAACGTTACTTTTATTTGTTTTAGATACTTTGCCTCACAATTGTTTGTATCTTGTGTTATGAAATTTATTATATTTGTGTTTGCTAAACCTATTAGATGGATCTAATATGCAAGAAGTGCATACTATTTCAATGTTATTCTCGAGATTATAAGTACAAAAAATATACATAAAAAGTATTTGAATAGACAATATTTTATTAAATTTGTTTGTGAGTCACTTCTTGAAAATCCTATACTTCATTTATTTTTTGTATTATATTTTATGTTTAGTTTATGTACTTTTTTTTATATAGTTTTTTTTATTTTCTTTATAAGTTTATTTTTAAAAATTAATAAATAAATAAATCATTTTCTATTTCAAAAAATTTTCATTTTTGTTTTTATTTTTTTATTTTTTTCTTAAAGTTGTTTTAGCTTTGGGCAATTACTTACTTTTTTTTCTATATATTGTAATTTTGTGTATTTTAAGTGTATGATATTTTCACTAATATACTCAGAGATACACTATGAAAGAAGTATCATGCAAAAATCAAGTAAGAAGAAGATAAATAAATAAAACAATACGATGAATGTGGAGTAAAGATCAAAGATCAACACTTCCAAAGCAAACAAGTAGAATAGAATGTCTAACAATAGACATTAGAAAATTTGCAACAAAATTTTATAATTTTCCTTTTTGCTAAGAAAATTTTATTTGGTACTAACTAAATAAAATGCTTTTAAAATAGTTTTATTTTATTTTATTTTATTTTATTTTTAATTTTAAAATTTTGAAATTAAAACTATAGTAAATTTATGTAAACATAATTGCTAACCACATTTTTTTACTTAATATATAATATTATATTGACTACCTTTTTTCAGGTTTATTTTTTTAAGTATTTATATAAAAGTTAAAAAAATGTCGTTATGAATAAATTTTTCCTTAATTTAGTTATAAATTTTGCCTGTATCTTATTTTTAAATTTTGAATAAAAGCAAATATAAAATAATTGATTGAGGATATGCTGCATTTGTTATATTCCTTTTTTCTGTGTGAAAAAAAGAAAAGAAAAGACATTTAAAAATCTCAACTCACATATATGCAAATAATTATAAACGCAACCCATGCATAGCACGGGTGAAATACTAATATTAATAGGGCTGCAAATGAACAGAACCGTTCGTGAACAGGCTCGAGCTCGGCTCGATAAAAGCTCGTTCGAACTCGATTCGTTAATTTTTTTTTTTTGCGTTCGAGCTCGAACTCGTTAAATTTTAAATAAACAAGTCCAAATATTCCAAAGCTCGGCTCGTTAGCTGGCTCGCTTAATATTTATTATTTATATATTAAATAATATAAAAATATGTATAAAAAATAAGAGAAATAGGCTATTTATATATTTAAAAAATATAAATGTAAATAATAGTTAACTATAAATGATACATTTATATAATAATGATAGTAGATATTATTATTTTAGTAAAATATGAATTTTTTTTAGTATGTTTATTTATATTGTATATATAATTCTATAATCAAAGTTTTAATTGTAACTTTAGTCTCATATGCAAGTATGAATTTATAAATTTTTTGGCTTGTTAAGGCTTGTGAACAGGCTCGAGCTCAAGTCGTGCCTAAGCCAACTCAGCTCGAGCTCGGTTCATTAAATTTTTATTCAGCTCGAGCTCGAACTCAAGTTCGTTAAAATCTTAATAAACAAGCCCAAACATACTAAAACTCAGCTCGGCTCGCCTTGTTTGTAGCTTTAAATATTAATAGTGTAAAAGCTAGCACTCAACAAAATGATCGTCGAGTGAGCTACGACCATTAATTTTGAACAGTTATGAGATAGATATGAAAAAATAATCAAAGTAGCCTAGTTGGCTAGTTCTTTAGCCACCAAATCTCTCCTGAGGTGAAGTGTCCTACTCTTAGTAGTGGAATGAGAGAATAAGATTTTTTTGCAAGGTGTATAGGTATGAGTTTTAACTTTCTCAATGTGTTAATCTAACAATTAATCACTAATTTTTTCTGATTAAAAAATAAAAAAAGAAGAAGATAGATATGAATAATGCATGCAAGAGAATCATATAGATGTACAACCACACACGTGAAGACAGAGGTACATATACAGAGATAGGGAGCTTTCAAGTGATTGCCATTATTTTAAAATCTCAACCATGGTAAATAAAAATCATGTTGATCAAACCAAAACTACAGATTCAAACAAGACAAGGTAGGAACAATTTTGTGCACTATAATGCTCTTGCATAATACCTATATTTTATACATCTATTATAAGGCCAAGTTTGGCATCCTTAAAATAATCCATCTTTTTATCTTTTTTCCATCACATCACCTCTTTATTTTTCTGCACATCTTTTCATAAAAAGATAAAAAGTGCACTTATTTAGCTCATCCCAAACAACCCCTAAATCCCAGCCACAAGAGCTACCAAACATCATTATTGTATTTTAACGTTCTCTAGTCATAATCATATAAACGGAGTCATTACTTTTCGTATACCGCTTTACATGTCTATGCAATCACTCGACTTCTTCCAACACAAGCTAGACCCACACTGGTAGATTAAAGTCAACAGTAAATAACAATTAGCCAAAATTAGTTTAATTTAAGTGCTTAAAAGAGACAACTTTGTTATTTTACAAGAAATATACCCAGTGATTAAGATAGTGTAAGGAATCAGAGCAGGAATCAGAGCAAAAGTTATGTTTAAATTATTTGCCCAAATCGCTAAAGTCAATGCATTAATATTGAAAAAAAAAAAATTACTACTACCTATTCAATACCCAACTATACATTAAAAAATTACACAAGTAATAAACAAATCTGAGAAACCATTAAAAAATAGCAAAGTGCATTAGAGACCACACATCTCAAACGGCTGCTTTTCTTACTTGAATTCCAAGATTCCATTACAGTATCTTAAAATATATATATATATATATATATTTTGTGACATCCAATTCAATTCTACCATAGAAAATTTTGTATTCTCAAGTACTGGAGAGCACAAATTGAACTAATAAATGTTTCCCAGCAGCTAGAAATATACAAATAAAAAAAATATTATTTATAAAGTTTTAAGAAATAATCTAGTGTGTAGGTAATAAACAAGAAAAGCAGCTTATCTTAAGCAAAATTATTAATGTAAGTATGTTTTAATTTTAAAGTTTTAGTTTGCAAAAAGTATAAGCTTAATTTTGTTTTATAGTGCTCTATTCTTGATAGGCTGTAACTAAAACAACACAAATTAATCCATGGGTAGAAAATATTCATGATAATTTTTACATGAAGCCTAGCATTACTCTTAAAATATAGAGACCATTTGCTTTCCCATATTGAACTCTCAGTCAACTCCAACTACTCAGCTTTAGATCATGAATTTGGATAGAAAAGAAAAAGGAAAAGATGAAAGAAATGGAGAAAAAATTTAATTTATTTCTTATTAACATTACTCTCACATTTTTCCATCTCTTTTCAAATTCTTACTAAGATTCAAGAAGTTATTGGTTGGTCTGCTAGCATTACTCTACGTCATTCATTGAATGACAAGCATTTAATTGTCTCCTAAAAAAGACAAAAAGATTATGGATCTCGTTATTTCAACTAATAAAAACAAAATTGGAACACCATATCAGCATGCTCCAAAAGTAATGAATAATTTTTCCTAAAATCCCTGATCTAAACACAACCTTTTTTTTTTCTCAGCTTTGAAAATTTGAATCAATAAAACAAGGAGTCAGCTCCTTCCCAGTAACTGGGGGTGCGGTTCGGCAATGGTGGGCGCTGATTTGGCTCATGACGATAATCTAAATTATTCAATGTAATTGTGCTGTAAAAAAAATTTATTGATTAAATATCGATATTAAATAAAATTTTCAAAATAAATTGTGACAAGAAATTACGGATGTCAATATCAAAATAATTTTCAAATAAAATTTTCAAAACAAAATGTGATAAAAACTTACTAGATATCAATATCAAAATAAATTTGAATCAATAAAACAAGGAGTCAGCTCCTTGCCAGTAACTGGGGGTGCGGTTCGGCAATGGTGGGCCCTGATTTGGATCATGACGATAATCTAAATTATTCAATGTAATTGTGCTGTAAAAAAAATTTATTGATTAAATATTGATATTAAATAAAAATTTCAAAATAAATTGTGACAAGAAATTACGGATGTCAATATCAAAATAATTTTCAAATAAAATTTTCAAAACAAAATGTGATAAAAACTTACTAGATATCAATATCAAAATAATTTTCAAAATAAATTGTGACAGATATAATGATATGATCAAGTGGAAAATAATATTCAAATAGAATTTTCAGAACAAACTATGACAGAAATTGTTATATGATAAAGTTAATATTTGTAAAGATAATATATTTGACAATTTAATGATTTGGATCATCGCCATGAGCCCGGATCAGAGCCCACCAGTGCAGAACAGCACCCTCCGGTGTAGAGAGAGAGAGAGAGAGAGAGAGAGAGAGAGATACCGATTCTGAAACACCCAACCAGAGATTCCACCAGCCTTTTCCATAGCAGATCTCCATCTCCCGACCTTGTGCTCTCCAAACCTAATCTCGAGACTTTGAAAGTCTTCTTCAAACGGTCCTTTCTGTCTTCGAACGTTCGATGGATCAACAAGGTAGAAAACAGGAAGAATAAGTCTCTCGCACTCGCAGATCTTCGCCAGCTCTTCGAGACACCACCGTGAGTTAGCGTATCTGGGAGAGATGATCGCAATCGCAGCAGCAGAGTCTTCGATGGCGTCGAGAAGGCTCTGAGCGATCTCGTCCCCCTGAGTCAACCCGTCGTTGTCTCGGAAGACTCGGACACCTTGTCTCTCCAACGCGTTGTAGAGTCGGTCTGTGAAGCCGTCGCGAGTGTCTTCTCCTCTGAAGCTCAGGAAAACGTCCCACCTCAGCCTGAACGCCGGCGTTGAAGACGTCACCGTTTTGTTCTCCACCATTTTTGTAGCTCTGTTGAGTTCTCTACAGAGAGAGACAGAGTTGCTGAGTCTAAAGCTGTACGTGAAAACGGTGCTCACAAGCGTTGTAGATTCTTCGTATTAGGTATACAGCAAGGACGTGACTTGCCAGTAAATCTCAACTACACAATGTAGTACTCTAGGAAATTTTAAGAAAAAATCACTCTAGAATCCTTGCTCTTAGGTATAAAGTTTCCATGGGTCTATTTGGTACTATTCCATTTTTCTTTTATATATTTGCAAAAGGATCGGATTGTCTCCGGTCCAGATCGCATCGTCTGGACAGGTTGGCCTACTAGGTTTACTTTAGGTTCACTCTTAAATTTTTTTTCCATAATCGTCACGTTTTAAGATTTATTAGTTATGTTACTTTTTAAAAAATTTACGTTGGTCGGAAAACAGATATTATATATTCATATCACTTTTATGTGATAAAAAATAGACGGTTAGAAAATTAACAGCTCATAAAAAAGTGATCCGAATACATAGTATCCGTTATTCGATTGACGTGATTTTTCACAAGAATAATGTACTTAACAAATCTTAAAATGTGAACGGTTCAAATTATTAAAAAAAAGACTAAAGAGTGAAGCCAATGAATCAAATAAGACCTTTTAATTCAACTAGTGGACTGGAGGCCAGCCCCAGCCTTTGCAAAAGTCTTCCATAACAATTCAAAAGATAATAATTAACACACTTTAGATTTTGTAATGACTCTTTGGACCCTATTAACATGGGAATGAACTCTCTTTCATATTTTTATCTTTTCATATTCATTTATATCCTTTTCGTGGATTCAAATTCAAATTCATATTGATAATCTAAATCGTGTGCTTCGTAGATTTTGCAATAAAGGTCACACGTGTAAAAAATTAATTTTATCGAATATCTATAATACATGAACTAATCATATCTTATTTTATAAAATGAATGATAAATAAGATTGTAAACTTAAACTATTTATTTTATAAAATAAAATGTCATTTATTTCTATGTTCGTAATTGTTTGATAAAGTTGATTTTTTGTATAGATAAACTTAATTGTAAAGCATAACAAATAGACACCACAGATCATCTATTTGTGCTCAGGTTAGAATTGACAAGAGGCATATATAAGAGGAGTCCAGATCCCCTGCAATCCCTTCATGCAGTGCCCCAAAACGACGTCGTTTTGGGGCACTGCATGAAGGGATTGCAGGGGATCTGGACTCCTCTTATATATGCCTCTTGTCAATTCTAACCTGAGCACAAATAGATGATCTGTGGTGTCTATTTGTTATGCTTTACAAGTAAGTTTATCTATACAAAAAAAAAATCAACTTTATCAAACAATTACAAACATAGAAATAAATGACATTTTATTTTATAAAATAAATAGTTTAAGTTTACAACCTTATTTATCATTCATTTTATAAAATAAGATATGATTAGTTCATGTATTATAGATATTAGATAAAATTAATTTTTTACACGTGTGACCTTTATTGCAAAGTCTACGAAGCACACGATTTAGATTATCAATATGAATTTGAATTTGAACCCACGAAAAGGATATAAATGAATATGAAAAGATAAAAATATGAAAGAGAGTTCATCCCCATGTTAATAGGGTCCAAAGAGTCATTACAAAATCTAAAGTGTGTTAATTATTATCTTTTGAATTGTTATGGAAGACTTTTGCAAAGGCTGGGGCTGGCCTCCAGTCCACTATTTGAATTAAAGGGTCTTGTTTGATTCATTGGGTTCACTTTTAAGTCTTTTTTTTAATAATTTGAACCGTTCATATTTTAAAATTTGTTAAGTACATTATTCTTGTGAAAAATCACGTCAATCGAATAACGGATACTATGTATTCGGATCACTTTTTTATGAGTTATTAATTTTCTAATCGTCTATTTTTTATCACATGAAAGTGATATGAATATATAATATCTGTTATCCGACCAACGTAAATTTTTTAAAAAATAACATAACTAATAAATCTTAAAACGTGACGATTATGGAAAAAAAATTTTTATATGGTGGCTACAATTAAAAAGTGGTTTAATGTGGGTTTGCTTTGTGGGTTTAGAAGTTAGAGAGAGAAGTGGGTTTAATCAGAGAAGTGGAATTGCTTTGTAATTTTTAGGGAAGGATGGTGATTTGCATCATCATCAACTACAAAAATTATATCTAAAGATGTATGTGTGAAAATTATACACCATAGTCAGTCCAGATCCTCTGCAAAAATATATAATAATTAATTATACAAGTCATATTTTGTATAATTATACACCATAGTGAGTCCAGATCTGAAAATCAAGATCTGGAAATCAAGTTATTATATATTGTAGTGAAAGTTATACACTATAGTGAGTCCAGATCCTCTGCAAAAACTTGTATAGTAATTTTGTATACATCTTGTAATTTTGTATATAATTATCGTAGTGAGTCCAGATCCTCTACAAATCAATAAGATGTATGTGTGTAATTGAAAGAACTGAGAGAAATCAGGAAGGAAGAAGACGAAAATCTGTGTAAACCAGAAGAGAGAAGACAATGGAGGGTTTATCTGCTGCTGCTGATTATATATATATATTTTAAGTTTTACCCCAAAACGATGTTGTTTTGGAGCACTAGGATTGCAGGAAAGAATTGCAGTGGATCTGGACTCTATATAAGAGTATGAAGAGTTGAAATATGAAGATAAGCTTATCCTTTTAACATGTGGCTGTATTTTCAAGCTAGAAGGCTATCTGTTGATTGTTTTTCTATACATTAGAAAGAAGCTGTTGATTAATACCCCACATCCGATTATTATATATATCTATATATATATATATAAAATAGCAAGTATTGTGACCTTACTCCTGCTGATTAAAGGTCAGGTCTCATGGACTTTAGGCTGTTGCTGGTTGGTGCCAAGCCAAGTAAGGCTTGAGCTTTCGAACACCTTTGTGGACCCCACTACGCTTAATGTTGATTGTTTTGGGCTGGATATTCTCTTTTGGGCTCCAGACCCATTGTTGATTGCTGCCCACTAATAACTGGGGCTTGGCCCTGTAACAATGGCTTGCTGTTGGGGTTGAATTTGGGCTAATTTTTGACCCAGTGAATGCCCTTTCTTGGTCTGTGGGCCCTTTGATACCCCACATGCCTCTGCTGCCTTCCAGGCCCACAAAATGCAGTTCTCCTAGATGCATTTTGATTTCACCTTCCAAGTTTCTGAATATTGATACACAGTGATTCCAACAACCTAATAATCTTCAAATGCATCATCAATACATGGCCACACAATCAAGTTATCAAAACACAAATGTGTAGAGAAGTGCAATTTTTGAAGTTCAAGAGGCAAGGCCTTGTTTGCCCAGTGAGGTTTCTAACTAAAAAATCACTACAAATTGTCAAATCATTTTTTCTATTTTTTTGCACATTTTTTTCCATAAAAAATCATAGAAGTAACTAAAAAATCAATCCCCAAACCAACACCACAAAAATGGCGCTTAACGAATCAGATTACCAGTTAAAATTAAAATAAATTCTATCACTGTGTTTGGTTTGAATTCTCTGGATTAAATTTTTTGAAAATTGAGTTTTTTGATTTTCATTTTTTTTTTTATTTTTAGTGAATATTTTTAAAATTTTAAACATTTTTTTTTTATTTTTTTAGATGCACCTTACTTAGATGTGTCTAAAAAGTAAAAAAATTGTGAAAAAATATTTTAAAAAATTAAGAAATACATAAAAATACAAAAACTGTACTAAATTCTTGTATTTTTTTTGTATTTTTGGTATTTAGTGAATTTTTTTAAAAAAAAATTATAATTTTTTTACTTTTTAGGTGTTTTTATGTTAGGTGTGTCTAAAGAGTAAAAAATTTGCATAAAATATTTAAAAAATTCAGTAAAAACAAAAAAATACGGAAAATAAGAGTGTAAAATTTTCTGAAAACTGTTTTTAAAAAATGAAAACCAAGCAAAGTGATTCAGAAGATTCACAGCCCCGGTTTCAGCCACAACCATACAAATATTGAGCACAAGGATGAAGACAAGCCTAATTCAAATTGGTTTGCATCCTCACCTCAACCAGATTAATAACATCACAGAATTACAAAAGGGCATTGGCTCTAGGAAGAAGCCAATGGAAGCACCAAAATGTGCAGTCGGATTGATAATTCACAATGCTTCAGTGTATCAAGGTAACAGCTTTGGTAAGACAGTGAGATGAAATTTCATGGTGAATCTCCGTAAAAATGGAGACTTGTCAATCAGACATCTTCGTGGCGGCAGGACTTGTTGGAATGAACCCAGCCGGAGACACTATTGCATCCACGGGAACATCATTATGTCTGATAGTGATAGCTCCCTCATCCACAATCTGTAAAGAGTATGAAAGTGCAACTGCAGCCAAACAACAGGCACCAAGAGTGTGACTAAAGAAATAAAAAGGAAAAGACAAGCTTATTGCATATATAGTTAATCTGAAAGATAGAGGTGTTCAAAAAAATTGGCCAAACAAGTAAATTGTTCTGAATTGATCCAAACTGTATGGTTTGGCCAAGTTTTTTAGAGGGAGTTTGGTTTCAGATTCCAAAAAATTAAGAACCAGTTTATTACGGTTTGGTTTCACAGATAAGACTCAAAAAGAACAAATCAAACAATTTGATGATTTTATTAATTTTAATATGCATAGGGTGTTCCACACCACAAGGTATCTACTTTTCTTTGAATCTCAATCTCAATCTCAATCTCAATCTCAATCTGATGTCGATGAGACCTTCTTTCATCTTATTCACAAAGTATATCACTCTATAACAAAAATGTACATTGTTTTTTAGTTTTTTTTTTTCACTACTCATATAATTTTTACACTTCTTATATTATTGAAACTTGCATTTTCATAGTAATTACTATATAATATGAATTTGTTTTCTTTTACATATTTTCTATAGGTTAGTTTGGAGAATATTCAAAAAATTTGAAGTATGCTTATGAAAACTTTAGAATACTCGTATAGGAAGGAAGAATCAATTTTTATTAACCTGGATAATCTAGATATAGTGATTACTTTTCAAGCCTAGAACCGAAGGACCGGTTTGGTTCTGGTTCGGTTTTTCACAGCTTGATTTGGTTTCTAAATTTCTGGAGCCATAAGGACCGGTTTGGTTCTTGGTTTACCTTGGAACCAAACCAACCCGGTCCATGAATACCCCTATACTAAAAGAAATAGCACAATAAAGTTGGGTACCTACCAAGAAGGGGCTGCTTCCAGTTCCTCTTGCTAGCAAGCTCTTTGTATTTCTTCAGGAACATATCATAGTAACTTTGAATTTTTGCCCAGCACAGACAAAAGAAAATTGCAGAATGAGACATGCTTCATAAAATGTGCAGACAAAATAGGACATGCTTATATGGGTTTGGCCCAGTGGTGTGTGGTGAGGGAAAGGTCAGGGTTTGAGCTGATGGAGCGGTGACTTGTAGTGTAATCTAATTTTGCTAACAAACTAACTTCCTACAGTCTTGGCCCCAAAAAAAAATCACTACCAATAAGGGATCAATATATCATCTATTGAAGAAGCCCAATTCAAAATTTCGGTCAAGCAATCAAACAAACGCATTGCTTACATTTATACCATCTACTGAAAATTTCAGTCAGGCAATCAAACAAACACATTGCGTCCATTAATTTGTCAAGGCGGAGATAAAGGGAATTGAAAGGGACCTTCTTGAGATCTCTGAATTGGGTCCATGCTCTTAAGTGCTTTACGCATTTTGGATCGAAGTGCTTGCTTTTGCTGAACGATTGCTTCCAGCTGGTTAGGGTCGTCGTCTTTGTTCATCGTGACAATGGATCGGCGAGGGCTTGGCGCAGGGCGTACAATAGCTAAACGCAATGGCAGGAAGGTTGAATATGCGTTGGGTGATGTTATCGTGCGCGTTTGGTTCATTAGCGCTTCCTTCGCCTCTCTGATTAGCAGCCTCCTAGCTGAGCTCATTCTACAGTAACCTTCAGATGTTTTCCTTTGAGGATTGCTAGCATATGTATTATGAATCATAGAGAGCCCATTATTAAGGCTAAGTTTGTCATCTTCTTAAAAAAAAATAAAAAATAAAAAAAATAAAAAAGTTAAAAAATTAAAAAGTCATTATCTTATTTAAGTTCATCACTTCTCTACCACATCACTTTAAACCTAACCCATATTTTATAACAAGTCAAAAAATACACTTTAACCCAGGAGTGGGTGACATTGTGGTTAAGACTTGGGGTTTAAGTCCTAAGGTCATAGGTTCAATTCCCTCCCTCCTGGGCCAATCTCCTGAGCGAAACACAGTTGGTTTGGTTAGAAGGTTGGATCTCAAGTTGTTTAATCAACACCTGGTGTGGGTTCAATGCTCCCCGTTGTGCGAGTCCTGACTTAAGTGGAGTTTGTTTTGAGAGGTCGGGACAAGTTCTCAAGTTATAGAGTTTGTCTTGGGAGGTCAGGACAAGTTCCTAGGTTATAGTCTCCTCACTCGGAACGGCTAACAGGACATCCTGGTGATCTCTGCAAGGGGTGCTGCCTTGGACCTACGGGAGGGTAGGGAGGATTTTTCTGTAACAAAAAAAAAAGTACACTTATTTAGAACTTTCCAAAAAACCCCTAATAATTCAAAAAATAAAAACTAATAATAATGAATGATTTTGGGTTTATTGGTGAGAATTTTATATTTATTTATATTTATGAAGGGATGCATTTTTAGATCTACATTTTTTTTTATGATAAAGACACATCAGAAAAATTGTCGCAAAATTAATCGAAAGATAGACAACTAAAAACAATGTTAGAGATCCACACTTCTAAACTTATAAATTCACTCACAATAATGTGATAATATTATTAAGGTAAAAAATTAGAAGATGATACATATGATATCACATCATTATAAGTACGCTTGTGAGAGCTTTTTTAGGGTCTTAAACATTTTATGACTACAAATCCAATTTTAGATTTTCTTTGGGGGCAATAATGTTGAGTTCCAATCTTTGAGGTTACAAGGACAATAACAATTTGAAAAATCATATTATTTCTATTTATCTGTCTACTAGTCTATCTATTTATTCACGTGTTACTTATCTGTCTAGTATCATCATTGGTGGAGGCAAAGAAAGACGAGGGGGTCACTTGCCCTCCTCAATTTTGAGATTTTTTTTTTTGGGTCGTATTTTTTCATATATAAATGTATTTGTTTTCTTAATATGTTTTTTGGTTAAGAATTTATTTTATTGTTCATAGCAAGTAATTATTTGATACTTTAAGAGCACTGTGTGATATTATTTATATAATAGTTTAAACCAATAGTATAGCGAAAAATCTTATAGATTGGATATAATGAACTCATTATTTTTAAGCAGTTGACAGACTGCTTAGTGTGATTTGTGACTTCTCATGTTTTGAGCATCATGTAGGCAATGCTATATGGTATTCTAAGACTGTTAATAATTTTCATTCAAAACACATCATTTATAAGCAATGTTATCTTTTTAATATTTTTCTATTAAATAAAAAATTAAATAGATTTTATAATAATTTGTGCTATAAGCGATGTGTTTTTATTTTCTAAAATTAAGAATTTTGATCCATAATTTTTTGTGCTAAAATTACAAAGTTACATCACCATCCTGCACCGAACTATTCTACACTATTATAAAATTTTAATTTGTTCCTATTAATAATGAATATGTAATTTTTTATACTTAAATATAGCTCATAATTTTTTGTTCCCATCTATCTCTATTACCACCACCGTGAATCACTGCCAAAATTTTTTCCAACAATTCATCGTCCGTGACGATGTATAAAATATGAAAAATATTTTCCTTCAGAACAGTAATTGAGTTCCACTTTACATCTAACACATATTTTAGTTATATCTTTGGAGCATCTGTTCACTTCCGACATTAACAAATATTTACCGTACATTTTTTTTAGCCATGGAAAAAAAAGTTTATTGATGCAAACCAGAATACAAATTTAATACAGTAGGGTGTGTTTGATTGGGCGGACTGAAAAAGGGGGGATTAGAATCCATCGGACTTGAGTCCTGGGACTGTGAATCCCCCGGACTATTTGGTCGGATTGGATATGTATCCTGTGTTTGTTTTTTCATGGGATTAGATGTCTGGATAGGACTATTTCCTTTTTTTTTTTTTTTTCTTTACTTAATATGGAAATTAGGGGGATTAGGGGGATGTTTTTTAGGGGGATGTAGCATGACCCTTTTAGTTATATCTTTGCAGCATCTGTTCACTTCCGACATTAACAAATATTTACCGTACATTTTTTTTAGCCATGGAAAAAAAAGTTTATTGATGCAAACCAGAATACAAATTTAATACAGTAAGGTCATGTTTGTTTGGGATTGGATTAGTATTCCCATGACTAATAGTCCTAAGATTACGAATCCGTTGGATTACGTATCCTATCTTAACTAATAGTCAAATTTAAAATAATTAGTCCGTACTTTAATTGTTTAACCAAATATCGGATTAATAATTTTATTGAATTATTAGTCCAATTCCAAGCTCATGTCCACCCAAACAAACATGCCCTAACAGTACATCAATGGAAAAAGGGCTTGGAAAATTCCAAAGGAAAATAGCAACAATGCAGACGGACCACATCCCCAACTAGTGCCTGAGCTTGCTAATCATGTACTAATCGATGCCCAATATTTCCCATTAAAAGAGAAGTTGGCAAGAAGCCAACAATATAAGGGACGTTATTTTAATATTTTTTTTATAATTAAAATATGAGATAAAAAAAAAAGTTAATATGTTTAGGATAAATTTTTAATATTTTATGAAAAAATATGTAAAAAAATAGAGAGAAAAAAAATCATTGACCTTTTTTTTTTTTTAGTTTGTTGGTTTTTTTGACATTTTTAGTGACTTTTTTGACTTTTAAATTAAAATAGTAAATTTCCAAACGAGGCCTAAAGGAGTGTTTGGGAATTGATTTTTTAAATAATTTTTGATTTTTTTTAAAAAAAAAGATATAAAAAAATAAACAAAATAATTTAATAACTTGTAATAACTTTTTGATTTTTTAATTAAAAACTAAAGTTTCAAACAATACTTGAGTCTTATTTTTATTAATTTTTGTCAATTAACACACATTTTATCACACAGTTTTAACATCTTAAAGAAAGAGCATGATTAGACATGGAAGTGCATGCTTTGGCACCTAAAATCGATTGGTCATCGCAGCATAAAATCGTTTGGTTGGGGAAACTTTTGCATAGATATATATAAATAATGTTGAGTTATATTCGAGGATTGTTGTTGATGATATCGAATTTGAGGGACAATGTACGAAGTTGTAAGGTACGAATCCAATGACAAAAAGATAAGATTTTTATACAGTATCTACAAGCTGTCAACCAACCCAATCCCTTATTCTGTGAAGCTAAATAAAGTTGTGTTTCAATTTGAGAAGATATTAGGACGGACTCAAACATGATCATAAACTTGTTCATAGTAATGTTCTCCATTAATTAATCTACTGTGAGCTCATATTAGTGTACGTTTCGATGATTTAAATTGTTTATTTTGTAAGATTAGTTGAATAGATCATTTATACTACTAAAAATTAACTTAATCAGAAATCGGCAGTCACTTAATCAGATCATATTTGATTAAGTGGCTATCAATTTTTGATCAAATTGATTTTTAATACATATGATTTGCTTAAAAGACTCTACAATATAAACAATTCAAATTATTCAAATCAAATTATGAACTTAAAATGAATCAACAATAGACCGAACTATACGGCTTAATTGGAGACAATCCAGTTTCAATACTAAACTAGTGACTCTAGGTGGGGTTTGCAATTGTTATCTTAGATTTTTTTTTTTTTTTTAATCTAAAAAATGTGGTATGTTTTGTAATTTTTACAAAAAAATGTTACATTTTTATAATAGAAAATTTTTTTTTGAATCATTTTGAACTTTTGATTTTTTTGTGAGAAATTACCATATTACCTTTATAGTGTCATGAAGTATTTGTTAACAAAAATAAAAAATTACGAATTTGGGGTGTTTGCTATACTCCCAGCACAATAGGCTCTATGGGCTCCTTTCAGGATCCGTTTTAATAATTCAAACCGTTCAAATTTTAGAGTACATTAAGTAGAATATACTTGTAAAAAATAAGTTAATCGGATATTGTTCACCCTTTCATTCACTCACATTTGTTCACAATGTCATTTATTTTTGTAGATACAAATGTGAGTGAATGAAATGGTTAATAATATCCGATTAACTTAAATTTTTACAGGTATGTTTTACTCGATGCAATTTAAAATGTGAACGATTCAAATTATTAAAATAGATCTTAAAATGAGCCCATAGAATAGCACAACAATGTCTGTTGTGCCCCCAACACAGCAGGCACCCTAGATTCAAAAATCACATGGACACAATAAAAATTTTCAAAGGATGAAGAGTAAAAACATCTTTTAATAATTTTGTTAACTTTAAATCACAATGTCATTTATTTTTGTAGATACAAATGTGAGTGAATGAAAGGGTTAATAATATCCGATTAACTTAAATTTTTACAGGTATGTTTTACTCGATGCAATTTAAAATGTGAACGATTCAAATTATTAAAATAGATCTTAAAATGAGCCCATAGAATAGCACAACAATGTCTGTTGTGCCCCCAACACAGCAGGCACCCTAGATTCAAAAATCACATGGACACAATAAAAATTTTCAAAGGATGAAGAGTAAAAACATCTTTTAATAATTTTGTTAACATTCTCAAAAAAAAATTAAAAATTGTATTTTTAGGCGAACCAAACAAACTTTACTTTTGGCTTTTTTAGCCCCAAAAAAAAGTTTATTTATAAATTGTCAAACAAGGCCTACATGGCTAGTTATTATATATTTAGTAATAAGTAGGGTTAAAATGTTACAATTTATTAATATTGTTCTAATGGTGCAAACGTTATTTATTTATTTTTTCACAAAATATCAAATAAACAATAATATTATGAACCAAAATTTTACCTAGAAATATTAAT